CATCGTTGAGTTCACTCCCTCCATCATTCTCCTTAATCTCTTCCCCCCATCCCTGAAATAGTTACAGCAGGTCCCATTTTTTCCATTTTCATACATGAGTACATAATATTTTCACCCTCCTACACTCTTTCCTTATCTCCTCCCCACTCCCACTGGTCCCCACTCCCATACGGGACCTGTTTTACCTTCCTGTTCTCCATTTTTGAAAAAGAGGGAGTTTTTCTTGATTCCTTATAGGAGCTAGCTTTCGCCTCCCCAACATTTCTCTATTATAATTACGTTTGTGAAATTTTGTGATTTTTTTTAAATTCTTTCCATGCTACAAGCTATTACAAGGATGAGGATTGTGTCTAGTTCACTGTTGTATGTTTAATCTTGAGCATAGTGCCTAATGCACAGTAGGTACCTCTTGAATTTTTATTAAAATGAATAAAATGGTTAAGAGACTGGATGTCTTAGTGAGTGCAAAATCATGTTTAGAACTAGAGAGGAAAAGCTGGATAAAGATGAGATTGTGGCAGAGTAAGATATTGGAGTTTAAGATTTAAAGGTGAAATTTATCAGGAAATGTCAGTGTCCACTCCTGCAGGAGAGATGGAGGTTGTTGTGTTTGTAGAAATTATGAAACTGTGAGGCAGAGAATGTTGTCTAAATTATGCAGGTGGGCATTGAAATTTCTCAGGAAGGTAGTAGGATTTGAAGTGAGGAAAATATAAGTCTTTTAATAAATATGACAGGTGCAGCCCTATCCTGTAGTGAAAGAAATAAAGGAGTAAGGACCAGTGGAACTCCAGAATCAATAATGCTTCAATCCCCTGGGAAACAGTGTGGTATAGGAGAAAGATAATGTTTTAGACTCTCCGGGTTCAGACTTTGAGTCACTCATCTGACTTAAGCCTTTCTTGTTTCTCTCTGTCTCCTCTTTTTATTTCTTTAGTTTTGTGAGGCAGGGTCCCAGTCCAAGCTGGCCTGGAACCCACTATATAGTCCAGGCTGGATTTGAATTTGTACTACTCCTGTCTCTGTCTCCCAAGTGCTGGAATTATAGACCTGTAATCTCTATTTGTGAATCGAGAATGATGAGACCAGGTGCAGGAGTTTCATTGTTGAATAAGAGTGTTTTTGAAAGCATTTAATTAACTTGTTAGTTTTTATACTTGATTGCTATCTTCACTTTAAGAAAGTCTTCACCTGGGTGCTGGTGGCTGATGTTTGTAATCCTAGCTACTTGGGAGGCTGAGATCAGGAGGATCGTGGTTTGAGGCCAGCCTGGGCAAATAGTTAGTAAGACCCCCATCTCCAAAATAACCATAGCACAATGGACTGAAGGTGTGCCTCAGGTGGTAGAGTGCTGCTTTACAAGTGCAAAGCCCTGAGTTCAAACCCCAGTCTTACAAAAACAAAAACAAAGAAGTCATGGACATGGAAGCAGGGGCAAGAGGCACAGACAGCAAAAGTAAATTTTGAACAAGGTTCTTCATTTATTCAGCATGTTTATACTATAGGGTCAGCACAAACCTTTATGAGTGAATATAGGTATAAGCATGTTGGTCTACAGCAAGTGTTTATGTTTAGAAATGCTTTATCTAATAATTTCTCATGAAAGTCTATTATACATAGGAGTTGGCTTTATTGTTCTGGATAACAGAATGAGGACCATTATGTGAAAGTTACAGGGGGAGGAGGTCTGGTAATAGGTCTGGGTTTTGTTTAGAAAAGCATTTTTGTAACAGTTTTAGCTGTCCACCAATAAAATGCATATCATGGCAATGTAATGAGTTTCCTGTCAGAGTTTATATTCAAGTGGACTCTGGATGATTTGTCTGTCAGAGAGGTAATAGAAAAATTCTGCTTGGAGGCAAGCATTGCATTACATAATTGCTAAAGGCCCTTGCATTTGGAAGATTAGAAGATTTTGACTCTATATGAGATCTGTCTATATACCTATTCAGTTGAATGCTCCCCTCTATTTCATTTGAAAAGGTTGAAAGCCAATGTTTTGTTTGGTTGTTTGGGTTTTTTCCTTCTTGTATGCTGAGACATAGCCGAAGACCATGAGAATTAGTCATTGACTTCGATGTCCCCATTTGAGAAGTTTAAACTAGGTGTTGGTGGTGATGTAACAAAAGGTGTTGTCTTTATCTGTGGGGTGGGTATAGGGTGGAGACAGAACCTGGAGACATCAAATATAAGAATGTGTTGCCAAGAAGTTTGGTTTAGTGCTTCAAATTTTTTGTCGAAGAGCAAATCTTTCTAGATATTGTCAGATGTCTAAAATACTTCTTAAAAAAGCTTTTTGAAAAGAATGGCCTATCTTATGGCCTATCTACTATGCTGACATGTGACGTCTGTGATGTCAGAGCACTGGTGGTTTTCATTTGTTCTCTCACGCAGGAGCGAATCTGGCTGGGAAACTCTGCATGCCTGTGGCATGTAAGTGCTGAGCACCTTTTTGCTGATTGCTAATGTGTGTATTGTATCTTCCCATATTCTTTCACAGAGTTAGTGCTGTTACTTTCCTTTTTTTCAGAGAAAATTGAAATTCACTTTGTAGCTATGCTCTTGATTTTGGATTATTTATGTGTTTAACTTATCTCCTGTGACCAAAGACAATGAATAAAATTTGTATATTTTTCTTCAGACAGGGTCTTTGTTGCCCATGCTAACCTTGAACTCACTATATATAGCCCAGCCTGGCCTTGAACTCTTCATCCACTTGCCTCAGTTTCCCAAATGCTGGGAATACTGGTGTGCACCATCATGCTCAGTTGGGATTTATAATTTTTAAACATAGATTGTAAGGACCTGATTTACTTTATAACTTGACATTTTGAGTTTGAGGCATTTTAGATCATAAGTTCTTTACATAGTATGAACTCTTGATACTTACTATTTTGAAACAGAAGAAAATTAGGCTTTGATAATAATTAGATTAAAAGAGAATATAAAGATCATGGCTTATGAGGCTATAGTGAACGATTTTTCTTTTCTTTCTCTCTTTTTTTTTCTTTTTGTGATACTGGGGTTTGAACTCAAGGCCTTATACTTGCTAGGCAGGTACTTTACCACTTGAGCCCACTCCACCAGCCCAAGAATTTAATTTTCTTTAACTTGGAAAAAGAACCATAGAAGTCATCTAATCCAAGTCTAAGTTATAGAAGAGGCAACTGAAACCCTAAAAGTAATTTGACTAAAGTCAACCAGTTAAAAAATATATATGTAAAAGTCTTATGAGAATGGTAAGTGTAGTGACAGTATGATTGGTGAATCTTTAAACCTTTGAGAAATGGGTTGGTACTGCAATAGATCCTTAGAAATGGAGAGGTGATACGAAATATCCTAGAATTTCTGGCCTTCAAAGCCTTAGATTGCTTTCTTTGGTCATGATTGACATGGAGGCTCAGTCATTTAATTGTTCACCAGGCATTTTTGGACTGCCTGTTATATTGTGGATGCATTGCTAAATGTTGGGGCTACAAATATGAACAAATCTTACCTGTACTCATGGATCTCTTATACTATAAGAATATTTTCTCTTTTGCCATTTTTCTTTCTCAAAAAAAAAAAGTCAGGTGTTATTAAGTTAGTGACCTACTATTTTTATCTTTGCCGTTGGCCTTAAATACATCTAAGGAATGTAGAAAATCAGGATCTGATCACATCACTAAATAAGCTGTATCCTGGGATAGAGGAAGGTGGAACGAAAAAGTACTTGGGGATCATCCTTGTCAATTTGGATTTTTTTTAAATTTTTTTTTAGCCTCATGTTTGCTAAGCAGGTGCTTTCCCAGTTGAGCCACTCCGCCAGAAAGACTCTAGGTTTTTAGGAAGAAATGTTTTTGAACAGTCACTTGAGTTACCTATTTATTTCAAGAATTCTTCTTTTGGGGCCTGAGGGAGTAGCTTGAGTGTAAACCATGGGTTCAGTCCCTGGTAATGCAAAAAAAAATTGCTTTTGATCTTGGCCTTTACCAAAAAGACAGGTAGAGTGGGGCTGGTGGGTACCTAGAGACTTTATGAATGAGGCCTCTTCTGCAGAGCACTGTAAACCTGGCAGAATTTGGTCAGAGATTTTTCTTCACTCTGTTATTACTTCCTCTGCTGAGGCTATTAACCTAACAGGATTGTTGGATTAATGCCAGGCTGTCAGGTCAGGGACAGTTTCTGCTAAAGTCAAGTCTGAAAGAAAGAATCTTTTTTTACGTGAACTTACCGAGCAATCATTTGTCCCAGATAGAGAAAGACCTTTTTTGGGTGGGCATGCTTCCTGGGTTCATGAAGTAGGTGGACAGATTGACTTTTGTTATGAGGTTTTGTGTTGTTGGATCCTCACTCTGATTTGTGAAGTAGCATTTTTTTTTTGAGTAGTTTACTACTGTTTTCTTTGCTAGCATAAAAACACTAGCCAACCCTAACATTACACAGTAGCTAGAATTCATTCATTCAGTAAATATTTACTGAGGGCCTGTGTGCCAAGCACTGTGTCAAGTGGCAAGGGACTCTTGCTGGGCATACTCTAGTAAACAAAACACCCAAGTTCCCTGCATTTTTTCTTTAAACCTATATGTGAAAAGAGGTGGCTTGATAGCAAGTTATTAAAATAATTTCAGAGTGTATCAGGTTCTAGGAAGGAAATGAACCAGATGCCATGTTAGAAAACATGGCAAGTGGGGAGTTCTCTAGGGTGGGTAGTCTGTTCCTTCCTTTTGTTTGGATAAGCAAACTCATGGAAGAAATGTAATACTCTAGAAGAGTAGGAGGAAAGCATTATTCAGAGTAGTTTGTGGTTAATGTAGGAGTTAAGACATTAATGTTACTTAGGAATTAGGAAATTAAATGTTACTTTTGATAATAAATTTTAAACTGCTTTGTTTTAAAATTCAACTGAGTGAATGAGGTAGGATAGTTATTTTTCCTGTTTGGCTAAAAATCTGCTGAAATTAGTCTGTGATCATCCTGTTCCAGTTAATTTGAGCCTTACATGTTTATTTTCTTCTCAGGTGGAAGCCTGAATTTTGATCTATGTCTTGCCCACATCCAGCTGCCTGAAAGCACTCAATGATCACATGACCCTGGACATGGATGCTGTGCTGTCGGATTTTGTCCGTTCTACAGGAGCAGAGCCAGGGCTGGCCCGAGATCTCCTGGAAGGTAAGGAGTCATTGGGGAAAATGAAAAAAGGGAAAGTAAAATGTGGTATTTATTGTTAGGATGGTTTGGAACATTTAAGGTGGTCAGGAAGATACTTTGTATATGATAGGCCCTCCATTTAAGTTACTTCTAGGGATCTACTTTGTGTATGATCCACCATAATTTTAAAATTCAAAATCATCTTTTCACCGATTTTATTTGATTCAGGCTGAGTGCCAGTGACTTACCCCTATAATCCTAGCTACTTAGGAGGTAGAGGTCAGAGGATCACAATTCGAAGCCAGCCTGGTTAAACAGTTCACAAGACCCTGTCTTGAAATACCCAACACAAAAAAGAGCTGGTGGAGTGGCTCAAGTAGTAGAATACTTGCCTAGCAAGTGTGAATCCTGGAGTCAAACCCCAGTACTGCAAAAAAAAAAAAAAAAAAAAAAAAAGCAAAAAAAACCTTGAAGTTCAGTGAAATAGACTGACAGTTTGGTTTCAGAACTTTTTTGGTGGGGGCAATACTGGGGTTTGAACTCAGGGCATCATGCTTGTTAGGCAGGTGCTCTGCCACTTGAGCCACACCGCCATTCCCCAGAGCATGGTTCTTAACAATTATGTTACAAATTTTTGTTTGCATGCACATACACAGACACAGGTGCACAAATACTCATGTTATGAAAGAAAAGTTGAGCTGGGTGCCAGTGGCTCATGTCTGTAATCCTAGCAACTCAGGAGGCAGAGATCAGGAGGATCATGGTTTGAAGCTAGCCCTGGCAAATAGTTCATGAGACCCTATCTTGGGAGGTAAAAAAAAAAAATCCATCACAAAACAGGGCTGGTGGAGTGGCTGAAGGTGTAGGCCCTGGGTTCAAATCCTAGTACTGAAAAAAAAATAAAATGAAAACTTGAGAGTACTCTGAAAGTAAAGAGGTAAACCTGATTTCAGTCTTGATCTATAGTGCAGGAAAGCTGTTTTTTTTTTAAAGTGGCACTGAGTTTGAACTCAGGGCTTCAATGCTTGCTAGGCAGCTGCTGTACCCCTTGAGCCACTCTGCCAGCTGCAGGTAGGCTTTTGAGAAAGTAATATTTGCACTGAATCTTGAAGGATGAGAAGGAATAGCAAGACAAAAAATGTAGAAGAGAGTGTTTATGCAGGAGAGGTAGCTTACACAAGGGCCCTGAGTTGAAAATTTGATATATTGAAGAAACTAAAAGTGAGTGAGATAGGAAGAGTGGTGGGAAGCTGGTTAGATAGGCAGGAAGCAGAATGTAGAGGGCCTTTCTTGGCCCTTCTCATAATTTAAGAAGTTTAAATTATATTCTAAGTTCACTGGAAGTGGCATGATTGGATTCAAGGGTTTTTTTTCCCCTTTTAAAATTAGTGTGTATTAATTATATAAAGTTGTTTCATTGTGATATTTTCATACACTCATATAATGTACTTGATCAAATTCACCCCCTCCCTTACTCTTTCTTATCCCTCTTTCCCGCTTTTTAAAAAAATTTTATGGATTTGAGTTTTTATAGGTATGGAATAGATTGATTATAAGGTGGCCAGTGGTAATACCAGTTAAGAATATTTCCATAGTTCAAGTGAGAGATCATGGTGACTTGGACCACAGTGGTAGCAGTAGAGAGAAAAGTGGATGGATTTAAGATATAATTTAGAAGAGGAATGAAAGAACCTGATCCTCATTTTTCTTGTCTCTATTTTTCTGCATCTTATTTTTTCCTTTAAAAATTAACTTCAGTTATACTGGAAAGAAAAATTAGAGAAGGGAGAGATTAGGAGCAGAGAAACTGATAAAGGAGTTTCCCTCTCGGAAGATCAAAGACCAGATGAAGACCAGATCATGAGGACTTGAATTAGGGCAGAGACAATAAAAGTGGACAAAAAGGAATGGATTTGAGAGATGTTTTGGTAATACAAACAACCCTGAGGACTGACTGGATGGTGAGGGAAGAGAAAGTAAGATCTGAGGAATAGGGAGGAGCTAAAAATGACTGAAACTTTTTGGGTATGGAAGGTTATGATGCCCTTACTGATTTAGGGAACATAGGAGGGGGAGAGGAAGCAAGTTTTGAGGGGGAGGATAATGGACATTTAGTTTTAGACATGTTGAATGTTAAAAAGGTCTCTTACAGTTGGAAATATGTATCTAGTTCTCAAGACATGTCATTCATTCATTGATTCAGGAAAAAAATTTCCATTCAACGAATATTTATTGAGTGCCTACTATTTGTCAGGCATTGTTCTAGATGTCTGAACAATAACAAAAAATGTCTTTCCTCATGCTGTAGTAGGAGAGATAGTCAATAAACAATAAACATGATTACATAAACTATATTATCAGGTATTGAGTGCTATGGAAAATGATAATTGGGAAGTCAGGTGGGCCTTATTAAGAATGTGACATTTGAGCTCTTTTTCTGCTGCCTGTCTACCATGAGATGAACAACCTCCTCCAGTACACACTCCTGTTGCCTTGATGTTCTGCCCAAGCACATGGGGCCAAGTGACCATGGACTGACCCTATGAAGCCATAAGCCAAAATAAATCTTTCCTCCTTTAAAAAAGAAAAAGAATGTGACATTTGAGCAAATACTTGCGGCTTATGAGGATTTGGCTGTGTGGATATCTTAGGGAAAGAGCCTTCTAGGCAGTGGGAATAGTCAGTGCAGAGACCCTAAGGTGGAAACACACTTAGCATGCGCTAGGAACGTGGGAGGCCAGTGGTGACTAGAGCAGAGTGAGCAAAGGGAGTTGAACCGTTTAATGTAATGATTTAGAAGTAAGATCATCAAGCATGAATGATTAGTACAGCTTAACTAGAAAATTATATGAACAAGAACAACAGCAGTAGTAGTAAATACATAATACTTTCTATATACCAAGCATTGTTCTACATACTTTCAACTCATTTAATCTTCATAATAATCCTATGAGAGAAGCACTGTTATTATCATGTGCATGTTTATAAATAAGGAAATTGAAGCAGAGAAAAAGCTGGAAAAGTAAGCTGGTCATAAAAAGCTTTGAATATGATTATGGAACTGAAATGATCAGAACTTCACTTTAGAAAGATGAATCTCACAGATTTTTTTTTTCCTGTGCTGGGGAGCAAACCAAGGGCCTTGTGAATGCTAGGCAAGGCCTTTACTACTGAACAACATCCCCAGCCTCTCATAGGATTCTTTGACATAGATTGGAGGTGTTGGACACTAGATGATAGGAATTGAATAAGATGGCGGCAGATAGTATAACAGAAAGAAGTATGAACAATTAATATATAATTATTAAACAATTTAACTGAAAAAAGCAACATAACAAATCTATCATTTAGGATTGTTTCTACTTTTGATGGATAGTAGTTCTTAAATTTGGGGCTGGTATAGTTCCTTTTGATAAGCTGATGAGTCTGTCAACTCTTCCAGTAGAAAAATGCACATAGCCATGGCTTTTTATATAATTTTAGTTGGCTTAGACATCCTAGGGTACATCTAGTCTAGGAACCTCTTTGGATCTCAGAATTAGGAGACCTGGTCTTGAGTCCTGCTGGGCCCTGGTGCAGACTATCTATGACTTTGAGCAAGACACTCTCTAAGGTTTGTTTCCTTTATCTGTAAGTTAGTTTAGTTTAGTTTTAGTTAACTAGATCTCTAAGGTACCTTTGAGTTCAGAGCAACAAAGTTACTATACTTAGGAGGTAGAAAATAGACATTAATAAAACTGATATTTCAGATTGAAGTGTTAGGAAGAAAATTAAAGCAGGATAAGGAAAGAATGATTGAATGAATGTTAGTATAAGCTTACTACTTTTTTTTGGCAGTTATGGGGTTTGAACTCAGGGCCTCACCCTTCTAGGTAGGCACTCTATCACTTGAGCCACTCCATCAGCCCTGTTTTGTGTTGGATATTTTTGAGATAGGGTCTCTTGAGCTATTTGCCTGGGCTGGCCTTGAATTTCAATCTCCTGATCTCTGCCTCCTGAGTAGCTAGGATTGTAGGAGTGAACTTTTACGTGCCTGGCTTGCTTACTACTTTTGATGGCTGGTCAGTGGTCTTCCTGTGTCTTCTGTCTTCTTCCCTCAATTTATCTATAATTTGCTTTTTTTTGGCAGTACTGGGTTTGAACACTTGCGCTACCACTGGAGCACACCACCAGCCCCATAATTTACTTTTTGCTTTGTCTTCTGTCAGGAAAGAATTGGGATGTGAGTGCTGCCCTCAGTGATTTTGAACAGCTTCGTCAAGTGCATGCTGGGAACCTATCCCCACCTTTTAGTGGAGGGAATAGTGGCTCCAAGACTCCTGAAAAAGGGTGTTCTGATAGAGAGTCCACACGCCCTCCCCGGCCCATCTTACAGCGGCAGGATGACATCATTCAAGGTATTGGGTTACCTGAAGGATGTTTCTTTATATAGAGTAGGAAGGGAGAGGACCACTAAATGAAGTCTGAAAGTCTTGAGTGCTACTTTGGAGATGTTTTCATTCCTTTCCTTTTTCTTCACCAATCCCAGATGGTACTTTTTAATATTTAAAAAATATTTAAAAATAACATCATTATAAAAATAATTTAAGACAACTCTTATTTTGTGCATCATCTCTGAGCTGAGAATGGTTTCCCAATATTTGAGCTCTTGCCCCTTGTGACAATGACTATATAACTCAAGCCATACAAATAAACTGTAATATTACACTGAGCAAATTCTGCTTACAGTGGAATATCAGCTAGGGAATTTCAAGTGACATATTTAAAACAAATTAATTTATTTGATATACTGTTTTCCTCTGTAGCATGTTAAGAATTGACTGCCTCTATAAATTTCTGATAAATAATGAGATCAAGAAAAGTTATAGTAAATAATATAAATAGATGTTATTGATAGAAGGAAGAAAGTTCCTATTTATGCCACTAATTTTCTTTTCTGTAATGGAAATCCTTTCTACATTCTCCAGGACTCTGAAGATTATCAGATTATTTGACTACATCTAGCCTAATGAAACCCAATTTCCATTATTTCCTCTTCCTCCCACCAAAAAAGTGACCAGGTTGCTAAATGGATGGGTCCCTTTCATGTTGGAAAAACAACAAAAGTTGTAGGAAGAGGAAGGTCAGGAAAATTCCAAACAAGGGCAGAAAGAGGAATATATATATTTCATGCTAAAGTAAGCGCCTTTCTATATTTCACCAATTGTACTTGACTTGAGAAAGAGTCATGAAGTTCAGTAGCCAGTTAGACTGTTTTTCATTGACTAGAATCTCTATTAAGAGGTAACCATCACCATATCAGTGGAGAGTTCTCTTGAGTGGGTTGTGTATATTCTAAGGTGACTCCATTTCTCATTGCAGAAAAACGCCTGTCTAGGGGTATCTCCCACGCGAGCTCCAGCATTGTTTCCCTGGCCCGGTCCCATGTCTCCTCCAATGGTGGGGGTGGGGGGAGCAGTGAGCACCCCCTGGAAATGCCCATCTGTGCCTTCCAGCTTCCAGATCTCACCATGTATAACGAAGACTTCCGCAGCTTCATAGAGAGAGACCTCATTGAGCAGTCCATGCTGGTTGCCTTGGAACAGGCAGGTCAGTGAACATTTCTTCTCCAGTGTTCTTCCTTCTGCTCTGCACCTATAGTCAGCCACATGGTAAATTGGGCTGTATCAGTAGCTTCCTGTCTAAATATGTGATCTGATTCCAGTCAGAAACAGGAGTCAGTCAGATAACTATGTACTGAGTGCTTTTTGAAGTTAGAGAAGGGTACAAGTTAGGTTCTTTATTCTTGAAATTTCCTGTTTGATAGAATGGAAACCATATATGTGTACAAAAGGCCTAGGAATAAATACTTGAAAATCAATATATGAAAAAACCCACAACTAATTATAATTGGTTCTGGAGCACCCTTGCAAACAGAGAGGACCAGTGCTGTCAGTGATGCACTAAGAGTGGCATCTGTTTATGTAAATCTTTCCTCTCAAATTTATTTATCTCCACAATTGTGTTTGCTTTAAATTATTGTTAAAATTAGTTAATACATTACGATGAGGTAGTTGGGAATTCTGAGAAAAGTTCAGGTACTAAAAACCTCCCATTGGAGAAAGATTGGAGATAGGAGCTGGAAAAGAGAACTTTTGTTTTTCATTTCATACCCATCTATATTAGTCATATGCATCTGTTTATAATTTATTTTAAATTAAGTTATCTGTACTAGTGAAATTACCGGTCAGCTTTCCTTTCTGCTTTTTTTTTTTTTTGGCGGTACTGGGGTTTGAATTTAGGGCATCATGCTGGCTAAGCAGGCACTGTTACCGCTTGAGCCACTCCACCAGCCATTTTTTCTTTCTGCAGACTTTTTAGTAGTTCAAGAAAAGTTTTAGCATTATTCATAAACTATTTGCCTCCTGTAAATAAATGGGCTAGCAATTGTGGGGTTACTTTACAGAACTGAGACCCATTCTCTTGGGTGTTTTATGTACTTTATCTTACTGCTTCTGACTTTAAAGTCAGAATACTATATACTACACAGATGCTGAATATTGTCATAGATGTAGATGATACAGATACATGCTTTGAATTGTTTTGTTTTACTGATGCTGGATTTATACCAAACTTTGTTGCTACGGTATTTACTGGTCTGACCAGAGTGAAGGAATCAGGGCCAGTCCAAGTAGCTAAGACAGTTTTAACTGGGGCAGTGTTGACATCTGAGTCTGCAGAATACTTTGATGTACAAATTGCCTTGTGCATTATATTATATTTGGAAACATTCTTGGTCTCTTCTACTAGATGCCAGTAGCACCTCCAAACCATATAGTAAGACCTTGTCTAAAAAAAGGTGGGGGTTGGGGGGCACTGGAGTCTTGGCTCAAGTGCTTGCCCAGCAAGCACAAAGCCCTGAGTTCAAACGCCATTACTACCAAAAAAACCACAAACAAAAAAAACAGAAGAAAAAAAAAGTAATAAGGTGATGGTTTTATTCTGGATAGTCTTCCTGGAGGAAGCTAATTTGCTCCTCTCCTTTTCTTTCATCTTTATGTTTCTGCAGGGCGTTTGAATTGGTGGGTTAGTGTGGATCCCACCTGTCAGAGGCTGCTTCCTTTGGCAACTACTGGAGATGGGAACTGCCTCCTGCACGCAGCTTCTCTTGGTGAGTCTTGAAAATGGCCCTCCATTCCTTTGTAGAAAGGAAGCAATTGAATCAAATCTTATGTGTAGGACTTGATCCAACCAACTTGATCCTAGGCAGACAGCAAGGTGTGTGTGTGTGTGTGTGTGTATATTGACACAGGAAAAAATGAGAGATAGCCTATTTTTTATTTTTTTTTCAGTCTTCTTTAGTGAGAACACAGGGTTTAGCTTATCCTCCACTCTGTGAGCTGATTGCCATGAGTAGTGAGCATCAGTAAGCAAGCATTATACAGCTGTCTAGGTGTGTGTGTAAAATTCTACTTAATAGTTAATTTGCTTGGTGTACATAAAACAAATATGTTTTCAGCTGTCCTTTTCGACTTATTTACTTTAAATTATGAAGCCTATTTACAACAATATATTTGCTCTTAGCTAAAAAAAGGTCCTCATTTTCCAACCATCCCTCAAGCTTTTTTTTTTTGGGGTGGGCCAGGGGGAAGTACTGGGGTTTGAACTCAGGGCCTCAGGCTTGCTAGGCAGGTGCTCTACCACTTGAACCATGTCTTCAGCATCCTTTTTAAGCTTTAATGCTTATTGCTGTGTGCCAGAGCATTCTTATCTGCTGCTACTTTGTATTTTAGTTTGTTAGACTTGCTTCATGAATGAGAGCTTCCTGTCAGGAGGTTGTAGAATATGTTACATCTCCTGCTTTAAAGTTTTCAGTCTCTGAGCCTCCAGAATAGAAACGTCCTTCTTGATTTAACACTTCTCCCCTAAATCACAGTCAGAGTTTCTCTGAACCTAGCGTTAGCCTGATTTTCTTTATTCCAGAGTCTGTGTATCCTAATTGAGGGGCTGGAGATGTAACTTACTGGTAGAGCACTTGCCTGGTTTGTGGGAGACCCTGGTTTGATCCCTAGTATCATTAAACAAAATAAAACGAAACAAAACAAATGGAGTTGAGTCAAGGAAAGATGTCTTATGCTGTGTTTTCTTGCACAGGGATGTGGGGTTTCCATGATCGGGACTTGATGCTGAGGAAAGCTTTATATGCTCTGATGGAGAAGGGAGTTGAGAAGGAAGCATTGAAAAGGCGCTGGAGGTGGCAGCAAACACAGCAGAATAAAGAGGTGGGAGAGCTTGGGTGGGAGCATCTTGTTTCTCAGTTACCTAGTTGCCAGAGTTACCCAGTGCTAACCACAAGGGAGTATCTCCTAATACTTAAGATCAATTTTATTTCCCGTGTAGTCATAGGAGATTGCAGTCATGAGAACTGGTGTGGGGAAGCCAGAACCCACAGAGGAGGTATCTAACATTATGCCCATCACATGATGATAGGTGCTTAACAGCCTTTAGTGGCAGTGTTTTGCAATATGTGATATGACAATTCTATAGGATTTTTTTATTTTGTTTTTTCCTTATAAAAAGGCTAGATTAATTTTTAAGGAGTTACATTTTCAATTCTTATAGAAATGTAAATACTTGAATTTTTTAGATGTATACAATATTTCTTTTTTATATATTTAGTTTCAGTTTGATTAAAATTTTAAAAAGCATACCTGTTAAATTGTGTTTGAATATTATTACTACTCAGGAATTTGGCAAATATTGAGGACACTTTTATACACAAAAGTAGTGATGAGGCCGGGTGCCAGTGGCTTATACGTGTAATCGTTGCTACTCAGGAGGGAGAGATCAGGTGGATCTCAGTTTGAAGCCAGCCCAGGCAAATAGTTCATGAGACCCTATCTTGAAAAAAAAAAAAAAAAACCCATCACAAAAAAAGGGCTGGTGGAGTGGCTTAAGGTGTAGGGCCTGAGTTCAAGTCCCAGTACTGCAAAAAAAAAAAAAAAGTATCAATGGATTATGTTTCATTACCATAACAGGAGTTGGGCAGCCAGACACTGGTGGCTCATGCCTATAATCCTAGCTACTTGGGAGGCAGAGATCAGGAAGATCACAGTTTGAGACCAGCTAGGGCAAAAGTTGAGACCCTATCTCAAAAATATATCCAACACAAAAAAATGGTTGATGGATTGGCTCAAGTGGTAGAGCACTTGCTTAGGAAGAGTGAGGTCCTGAGTTCAAACCCCAGTACTGCCAAGCAAACAAGCAAACAATCAAGCAAGCAAGCAAACAAACAACCAAACCACAGGAATTGGGCAAACTGATTGTTTTCTTAGTTTCGGTTTAAAAAAAAAGTTTTATTGACACACAGCCTCACCATTTTGGGTATGTTTATGTTTATAGCTGCTTTCTCTTCTAACAGCAGATTAGAGTAGCAACATAGGCCTGCAGAGTGTAAAATATTTACTGCCTGGCTCTTTACAGAACAAGTTGGCTGACCCCTTTCATAATGACATACGTAATGCATTTACATAAGATAACAGTCCTCCCTATTTCCTTTTTCCCCTGGTTTTCTCCCTGTCTCCCATGTTTGTATCCTCTGCTTTTCATATACATCTTGGGTTTTTTTTTTTTTTTTTTGCCATATATTGTTGTTGTTTTGAGACAGGGCCTCACGACGTTGCGAAGGCTGGCCTTGACCTTTATATGTATCCCAGGGTGGCTTTGAATCTACAATCCTCCTGCTTCTGCCTTCTGAGTGCTAGGTTACAGGCATGTGCCATCATGCCTGGTTTCCATGTTTTTAACTGGGCACATCGGGCATTGGGTATGGGAATATCTCTTTAGAAACATTCTCTTTTCTGTCTTCTTTCTTTCCTCCTTTTATTGTTTCATTATAACTGGAAATAATAGAGAAATAAGAAATTTTTGTTTTAGTTATTTAGAATTTTATATCCTAAACAATTAAGAATGTGTTATGTTTTCTTTCTTAAAAACAATCCAGTTATTAAAAGTAGGGTGTGGCTAGGTGCCAGTGGCTCACGCCTATAATCCTAGCTGCTTGGGAGGCTGAGATTGGGATTGAGGTTCAAGACTAGCCAGAGCAAATAGTTCCTGAGACCCCCCATCTCCAAATAACCAGAGCAAAATGGACTGGCAGTGTGGCTCAAGCAGTAGAGTTGTCTACTTTGCAAGTGCTGAAGCCCTGAGTTTAAACCCCAGTCTTACCAGGAAAAAAAAGTAGGGTGATATTAAGATCAGAGTCCTATTCTTGATTAGCCAATTTGCCCCAGAAATAAATCCAGAGGGGCAAGACTACAAAATTGTCATTTTTTGTTACCACCAAAAGCTGGGCTGGACCTTTTGGAAAGCATCTTTTGCTCAAGCTAGAGCTAACCTAGATTTAGAACCCAAAGCAAATCTGTAGTCAGCTTTACCTTCTTCACTGCTGAGTTAGAACATACCTGAGCCTTAGATTTGACCACTCCAGGGAAAGGAAGAGACCAAATGGGAGCATGTCAGCTATTAAGTGGAAATGGTAGCAACAGTCAGAATAGGTGAACTCAATTCCAGTTTTAAATCTATTATAGTTACTATTATAAAGATTGGGTTAGATGATGATGGTATTTAGCCAGGAGACCAGAAATACGCAAGTTTTATCCTGAGTTGAGCCACCCTTTTCTCCATCAGAAATATGTGCATAGAGAATAGTGGCTAACAATGGAGCAATCACTTTACTCCTTTTGCTCAGCACAGTGAAAATTCCATACTGGAAATGTGGGCTACATAATTGTCTTAGTTTTGACTTTGATGGCATTATACTGCACCTTGGGAGTAGGAATAGGAAGAGGAGGTGATGGACTGGGGATATCTTTTAGTCAGCTTCCTAGTCCCAAATCCAAACTAAATTAATTCTGATCTTCTGGGCCTCTTTATTTTGTGTTGAAATTGATGGTAAAACCTGTTTTCTTAAATGATAAGGCTAGAAGTGTCTGCCACCTAGTGGCTGTGTGTATTAAAACAGGAATCAGAAATAGGTAAAGGGGAGAGGGAGTCAGATCTGCCTGGATATGTATGTCAGAGTGAACAGAGTCCCTCCTGTGCATTGCTCTTTTTTATTTTTAATTGAAATAAGTCTGTGAGAGCATTTTACAAGTTAAAAATAGTTTTCATTTAGCTGAGTGCTGGTGGCTCATGCCTGTAATCCCAGCTACTTGGGAGGCAGAGATCAGGAAGATCATGGTTCAGAGCCAGCCAGGGCAAATAGTTCTTGAGACCCTATCTCAAAAACCCCTTCACAAAAAAAAAAGAGCTGGTGGAGTGGCTCAAGGTGAAGGCCCTGAGTTCAAATCCTAGTACTGCAAAAAAACAAAAACAAAAACAAAACCCCAGGAAAACATACCACATGAAGGCTAAGAAAGATGAGAATCAAAAAGACCACTGAATTTGGCAATTTGAAGGTCACTGTCCTTTGTTAGAGTCAGGTGGTATGTGGGGGTTGGCCAGGCGGATGGAAGGGAGAAACAGAAGCCAGACTGTGGTGAGTCAGAAAAGAGTAGACAAAAAAGTATGAGAAAGATCATAGACTATTCTTTTATGGATCTTGACTATTAAAGGGAACAAGATACTTGACTTTGGTAGTACATGTGTAAACCAAGTGGTAAAAGAATAGAGAATGAGGTAAACAGTGAGTGAGTTGGAATGGGCATTGCCTCTTAGAACCTAGTGTCTGCTGGTGGAGCAGGACAAGTGGTAAAGTGCCTGCCTAGCAAACACCAGGCCCTGAGTTCAAGCCCCAGCATTGCAAAGAAGAAAAAAGATTCTAAAGAACCTAGACTCTAATTACTTAATGTCCCCTTTCATTATTGTATAATATCTTTCACAGTCAGGGTTGGTATACACAGAGGACGAATGGCAGAAGGAATGGAATGAACTGATTAAGCTTGCGTCAAGTGAACCCCGAATGCATCTAGGCACCAATGGAGCCAATGGTGGTGGGTAAGTATGGCTAAGTTGGAAAACAGGAAATAATCTTTATGGAAACTTCTGGTCTGTGAGATCTCTCACAATCCAGTGTCTGAAGAGCTCTGTGTTAAGAGAATGTTAGAAGGAAAGAAAGGAGCCATGGTAAGGGCACACAAGTATATGATCAAACAGTATATCTTAGGAAGTACTGGCCATTCAGTATTGCCAGAATATAGAGTGTATGGTGCAAAATGATGGATGAAGCTGGACAATCTATATCCTTGCATGCCATGGTGTTATTTCTCTTGTACCATGTTAAGGGATTAGAATTGTATCCCATGTAGACTTCAGGAAATTATAGGACAAATAACTCAGTATCTTCAGTAAATTGCAAGGAAAATAAAAAGGGACAGAGAAGCTATGGGCCAGCGGCACTAATAAAACATGTCAGTCAATTGGAATGTATGTGGGCACTTATAAGAGAACTGGGGAATATGAACAGTGTCCACATGTTTTGATTATTGTTGAATTTTTAAGTGTAATTTTAAGGATGTATTGTAGTTTTTTAAAAAGGAGTTCTTTTGGTTTTTGGACATAGACATATATATGAATGAATGAAATAATATTCATGATTTCACTTCAAAATAATCCAGCAGAGTGGCTGTAGGAAGGAATAAGGAAATTGATTGAGGCATAGGTGAAATGAAAACGGAGTAATGGACACATGAAAGTTTAGGGTAATATTCTTTTTTCTTTTTTTTCTTGGTGCTAGGAATTGAATCCAGGATCTTGAGCATGCTAAGCACATGCTCTACCACTGAGCTGTACCCTATCCCCTAATATTCTCTCTAGTGTTGAATATGTTTAAAATTTTGAAATGTTCCATAATAGGAAGTTAAAAATTATAACTATGCATAAGAATAATCTGGGAGAATTATTTGAAATGAGAATTTCTGAAACTCTACATCAAGAATATCTAATTGATTTTGAATGAGGTAAAGCCCGGCAATTTGAGTTTGTAACAAGTAGTGGATAACATTGTTTTGTGGTGGTGCCAATGAATTTTAAGTTTGAGAAGAGCAAATCTGTATATTTAAACAGATTTCACACGGGAGCAGATGATGAGGCGGAAGAGGGGTGAGACTGGAGGCAGCTGTAGTAATAATCCAGGCAAGAGAGCCAGGGGTATGAACATGGTGGTAGAGTGGGATAGGCCAGAGGAGACAGATATGGGAGGCACATAGAGATGGAATTGACTAAGTCAGATGATTAGTTGAAGTTACAAGAATGAAAAACAGTAAATATTTCACAAATTTCTGATTAAGCTACTAGGTAGATGGTGAGGCTGTTCTTTAAGTAAGGGAACATAGAAAGAGGTATTTAGGGTTTTTCTTCTGCAAAACATCATGAGTATAATATGTGGGTAATTGTAGGTCAGGTAAGATGAGGCTATGCAGTTGTTTATTGGGGTACTGGATAAAGAGAATTGGGAGAGGTTGTTGAGCAGGATAAATATTAAGAAAGAGGTTTACCTGCAGATTCCTAACACTACTTCAAACTTAGAGCCTTCAAATCTTGTCTTGGATTTCCCCATCTGTGAAATGGAAGTAGAAACAACCATGGTGGCATAAAATAATCTGCTGTGTCAGAGGCAGGTTTACGACAGGAAAACCAGGAATAGTCTTCTTTTACCTCTTTTTAGGACTGGTCTTCGGAGCTCTCTTGTTTTGTTTTCTTCCCTCTCCCTTCTGCTGTGCCTCTTTCACTCTCTCCTCTCTTGCAACTATAGGGTGGAGAGTTCAGAGGAGCCTGTGTATGAAAGCCTAGAAGAGTTCCATGTCTTTGTCCTTGCTCATGTGCTTAGGAGGCCCATAGTCGTTGTGGCAGACACTATGCTGAGGGACTCCGGTGGGGAAGGTAAGTCAGCCAGTCAGTCCTCACTCCACCTCAAGCACCACCCTATTTGCAGATCCTTGGGCTTTACACTGGGAAGAGGACAGGAAAGAGGATATAGATGCTGGTGGAAAAGGAAAAGGTATAAATTAGAACAATGTAAAATTCTCAAGAGATTTGGAGTAAAGAAGTTGGGGTTGACAAGGTTCTTAGGAACGAATTATGAAACAAGTTGGAATAAAAGGGGGAATTCAGTTGGTAGAATGGGGTGGAAAGATTGTCCACTAGGCAAGACATAGGTTTAATAATAATAATCTCTATGGTTTTCTGCAGCATTTGCCCCTATTCCCTTTGGGGGAATCTATCTGCCCTTGGAGGTTCCAGCTAGCCAATGTCACCGATCCCCTCTGGTGCTTGCCTATGATCAGGCCCACTTTTCTGCACTTGTGTCCATGGAGCAGAGGGAGAATGCCAAGGAACAAGGTGCTAAATTCAGTGTCTGTCTTTACTGCTTTTTGGTATGCATTATTTTTACTATCACTTGGATAAGTGAAAATGAGAGCAAATGGAGGAGGAAAGAAGTTCAGACATTGCATGTTTTATTGTTATATGATATATCAGAATTTTCAAATTTAAAGAAAAAAATGATTTGGAGAGAAACATAGCCTATATTTCCTGTTCTGGAGTAAAGGGCTTATATATTAAGGTCATAGTACCTTCTAAGTGATGCCTTGCTGCATTTGTCTTTGTCTTAAAAGACTAAATTCCCTGAATACACATAATTGGCAAGAACATCATGAGGATTAGTTGACTGACTGGTGGGGAGTTGTGGAGATTAGTGACTTAAATCTTATACTGGGTAGTAGGGAGAACTAGCCTACTGGATATTTATTTCAGGAGTAATTCAAATTTAAGAATTGCGAAGTGACTAGTTAGAGACCTGTGTATGAGTCTAGTGAAGTCAATTTGTGTTTAGTTGCCTTCTTACCTCCTCAAGGAGACTTCTTGACAGCATGTTTTTTCCCCCTTAGCTGTGATTCCTCTTACAGATTCAGAGCATAAGCTGCTGCCCTTGCACTTTGCTGTGGACCCAGGAAAGGCCTGGGAGTGGGGCAAAGATGACAATGACAATGTCCGATTGGCCAGGTGAGACCAACCTAGCCTTTCCATCTACTTCGTAACCGAGATCTCTTCCACTCAGAGCGGCCATGTCCTGAGAGATTTTCTTGACTTAGAATCAAGACAGTTACGTCCTAACTCAGTTTCCTTTGGGAAGATGGAGAGGTAGAAGACAGGTTGGGCACTAAGACACTTAGATCTTGTAACTGCTTTGTCTCCCTCTGAAAGATATACTAGAATCTCATCTTTTTCTTAGAGTAGGAAGAGTGTTCCTACATGGACATACCTCAGGAGCCCCAATACAGTGATCAGAAAATCTGTATATTAAAATCATACTTTTAATCCCAGCCTATGTGAGAGGAGTTTTAAATAGTTTACCAAAATAGTTTGCTCTCAGTTTTGTCCTTTCTGGAATTTAGACAGCAAGAAAAATCCTTCCCCTCTAACCTCTGTATCTCCCATCCTTCTTCCCTGTAGGCTGTTTACTAACTCCTCCTGCCTTCCACAGCTTCCCTATGGAGAGTATATGAATGTAAAAGTTCATCCCTTACCTCTTACCCATAGCTTCCTTCTTTTGACCTCTGCAACTTTGGGAGCTGGCTGAGAGGGTTTGATTTTAACATCTAGTGTTTGTGGCTTTTTAAAAAATAAGTTTTCAATTATCAAAATCTCCTCCTAGATGATATTCACAACAACAATAATAGTGGCTACTGCTTAGTATTTTTGTTTTCCAGTCACAGTGCTTAGCCCTATACAAACACTGTTTTAATCTTCATAACAATGCTACAGGAAAGATACTATTATCACTATCCATTATCAACTCCAGCTAAGTTTCAGGGAGGTTGAAATGACTTGGTCAAAACATACACCTTCATAATTGATTTAGCTATAATTCCAACCTAACCCTCTTTTAGTTCTTAGTTAGGTAGCCCTTTCCCACCCTACTTCCCCACTATATTACACTGTTTCACTTTTAAAAGGTCATGATCTTTTTTTTTTTTTTCCTTTTCACAGTGTAATTCTATCTCTAGAGGTCAAATTGCATCTGCTGCATAGCTACATGAATGTGAAGTGGATCCCACTCTCATCTGATGCACAGGTGAAGGCCACTCTCCCCCCTTCCCCATTCTTGTGTGTCTTTGCTTTCAGTGACAGGAAGGAGCAGAACAGGTGGTGCTTGCCTTCTGAATCTGTTCTCAGTGGTAGCTGATGAGTCAAGATTCAGAGTAACTGAAAGATGTTGAAAAAGTTCCAATGAACACTTCTTTCTACCTTTCTACCTGTTAGTCTGCTTTGTGGCTGACATCTCTCCAACTGGGTTCTGCTTTTTCATACTAAAATGCATTCTTTGGAAACATTTTCTTGACTTTTTTGGTGGTGAACTTAAGATTGTCATTTTTGTGTCCCAAGTCTGTTTTGGGCACCAGAAGGGAGACAGGCTATTTAAAACAAAAAACAAAAAACAAAAAAAACCAGTGATCCCATGAGTCCTGAGCTAGAACAAGAATATAGGAGCAAGGACAAATCTGAACTCCAGAGTGCTGAATGTAAAAAAGTTGACGATGAACAATGGTCAGTTGTGGTTGGTTGTGATTAGTTAAGACTTCCTTGAGGTTAATTTTGAACAGAATCTGACATAGACAAATTTTAACAAATAACAATCCAGTATCTATAAAATATTTTCCCTATTTACCTGAAGGCCATGTATAGTGGTTGCCCATTGCTCTGAAGAGCAGTCAGTCTCCATTTTGGTATTTCCTTATTACAGAAAAGAGACAGATTGTAGTGGACGAGATAAAAGATGGTGGATACATCTTTAAAGCCTTGATCCATGAGAGAGCTGACTGGAGCCAGAGGACAGTGGTCTTCTGACCCTTCCTCCATCATGGCTCTCCTCTGGAGCTAGGCATTTACTCCAAGGTTGGTGTTTGTAGGCTGCTTACCACCCTTTCTCCACATGGCTAATTCCTACAGCAGTGGCTGCAGTAAGCCCCGTGAGCTGATGGACAGGCTTAAGGTTTCTGGGGGGTTTCTCTAGCTGAGACCAATGGGATATTTCTCAACACTATTCTTACCTCTTCCAGGCTCCTCTGGCCCAGCCTGAGTCCCCCACAGCCTCAGCTGGCGATGAGCCCAGGTCCACTCCTGAGTCTGGAGAATCAGACAAGGAGTCAGTTGGCAGCAGTTCTACCAGCAATGAAAGCAGCAAACGGAAGGAGAAGTCAAAGCGAGATCGGGAGAAGGACAAGAAGAGAGCAGATTCTGTGGCTAACAAACTTGGCAGCTTTGGCAAAACCTTGGGCAGCAAGCTCAAGAAGAACATGGGAGGCCTGATGCACAGCAAGGGCTCTAAGCCTGGAGGGGTGGGGCCTGGGTTGGGGGTAAGCAGTGGCACTGAGACTCTGGAGAAAAAGAAGAAAAACTCACTGAAGAGCTGGAAGGGTGGCAAGGAGGAGGCAGCTGGGGATGGGCCTGTATATGAGAAGCCTACTTCTGAGTCTGTTGGTAATGGCGGGAACAAGTATAGCCAGGAGGTGATGCAAAGCCTGAGCGTTATGAGGATTGCAATGCAAGGGGAGGGGAAGTTTATTTTTGTTGGAACCCTGAAGATGGGTCACCGCCACCAATATCAGGAGGAAATGATCCAGCGCTACCTTTCTGATGCTGAGGAGAGATTCCTGGCAGAGCAGAAGCAGAAGGAGGCAGAGAGGAAGATCATGAATGGAGGGTTAGGTAGTGGGCCTCCTCCAGCCAAAAAGCCAGAGCCAGATGGTGGGGAGGAACAACTGACTGTCCCACCAGCAGAGTCCAAGGCAGTGTCATTCTCTTCTGGCTACCCTGGGGGCTTTACTATTCCTCGACCTTCTGGGGGTGGAGTCCACTGCCAGGAACCCCGGAGGCAGTTGGCAGGGGGTCCATGTGTGGGAGGCCTACCACCATATGCTACCTTCCCCAGACAGTGCCCTCCTGGGCGACCCTACCCCCACCAGGACAACATCCTTTCTTTGGAGCCAGGCAAGGATGGAGTGCATAGGGGAGCATTGTTACCATCCTCCTTCCGTGTGGCTGATTCCTATAGCAACGGCTACAGAGAGCCCCCCGAGCCAGATGGATGGGCTGGAGGTCCCCCGGTGCTTCCCCCAACCCAGACCAAATGCAAACAACCGAACTGCAGCTTCTATGGACACCCTGAGACAAACAACTTCTGCTCTTGCTGTTATAGGGAAGAACTGAGGAGAAGGGAACGTGAACCCAGTGGAGAGCTGCTGGTGCACAGGTTCTGAGTGGATAGAACCTTGGAGGGCAGGGGGCTAAACAAAGTTCAGCTCAACTCATTGGCTCATCAAGATCCAGCCCCAGTGTTGGTGGGGCAAATGCAGAAATGTTTGTGGGAACCTGGCTGGAAACTTTGCTGTGTTTATGCTGGAGTTCTGCCAGGCTGGCAAGAGCAGGATAGGGCTGTACAATGCCTCAAGGGCTGTACTATTCCTTTGCAGAGCTTGACTTGATGGGGCTGAGGAAGTACGAGGGGGAAAGATGGTGATTCTATCTCTTAACCCTTGGGTCGCATCGTAGAACATAAAGGAAAATAGTAGAGGAATGTTTGGTGTGTGGGGTGGGAGGTGGGCAAGCGTCTGGGGAAGGAACAGGTAAAGGAGGCGCTCAAGTCAATTAAAGCAAAAACAGACCAAAGTTCTTTTAGGTTGGAAAAAAGCACACGGAGGTGGAGTTGGGAGTATGGAGGGAAACTGAGGTATTGGACAAATTTGTTACTCATTTGAATGAAGATAGCTATTAAGGTTAGATAAATTCCTTCTGAAGGATCTGGAAAGACAAGGTGTCTTGTCTTGGCTCTTGGATGCTTATTAGGAAGAGGGAATAGTTTAAATCCCCGTTTATGGAGGTAGGAAAGGGAAGAACTTAAAAGGGGATTCTTTTTCCTCTTAAGTTTTATTTCTAAATGTAGTCATTTGTCATCCATTCTAGTTTGAGAGGAGATTGCTGATTGCCCCCTATCCTTTCCTCATCCTTTCTGAGGGCTGAGTTCAGCTAAGAAGGTTGTAATTTTTTTTTTAAAGACTTTTATTAAAAAAAAAAAGTTTCCTCTGGGAAATAGAAGAGTGATGAGAACAGCAGCTGTGTGTGTTGAATTTTCTTCAGGTGGATGGGTGCAGAGTGATCTGTTTTTAAACTACTTAGCAATAACCACACGTGGGGTTTGAGTGCACCGTGGGAGGGGTGGGGGAAAGACAAATAATTTGGCCAGACTGTTTCAGACAAAACCAAAAACCTACATAGAGCACTACCATTCTCTGCTGCTGCATTTCTGTAGAAAGCATCTTATTTTATTGACTAATTTTTTTAAGTAAAAGAAACAAAAATACCCCAACAGACATTTTAAAAAATGATTACTATTTTTTTTTTTCCTATTTAAGTGATTCTTTCTCCTTCCTTTCTACTTTTGGAGAATGAACTTAACATCCCGGCTTCTTTTTTAAGCCATAGCTGACCTTAATCTGTGGTTAGTTTATTAAAATAAAAAATACTTTGTAAGAAGAAATATTTTTGATATTAGGACTGATGTTGAAACTTGGGGTTGGGGTTAGGGACAATTTATAAAGGTAGCTAGAGAAATATATTTTAGTAAACTATAACCACAGATCACAGATTAATTCCCGTGAGCTGATCTGTCTTTGGATCTCTCCCTTTCCCTGACCTAACCCTGTTCTTGAGGGAGTTGGAGTGGGGATGTGGACACAGTAGGGGGAGCTCTTTTGCATTTTGCACAAAGCACAAGTCTGGACAGCTTATGCTCTGGCCAGAGCCATTTCTAAGAGCTTTAAACCAGAAGACCTATCCCGGGCCAGTTTTCCTTTTTCTTTATATTTTTTTCCTGCGGAAAAGATCATCTATGCAATTGTATACATTTGTTGGGTGCATATGAAGAAGGGGGAATAAGTGTACTTAAGTGTCCAGAGTGTTAACTGGGGCTATTTTTCTGTACTGGGATTCTCTGTCAAGGTATGTACTCATCACCCAGCTAGTGGAATGTAATTCCCACATTTGATCTAAACCACACATGATTTTGTGTGTATGTGTTGGGGGCCTTTTGTGTGCATATATTCTTTCTGCCCTGTCAGGAAAGCTTTCAACCCATTTCTCCCCTCGGTAACGAAGCCATTTCCTCCTCATTGGAACTACTTAATCTAATAAGGTTTCTTTCTCCTCAACAAACTTGAAAGCCACTTACTTTCCAAATCTGCTAATCTGTTGATTTTATCATTCCCTATTTTTAGGTATTTATTTTAAGGAAACCTGAGGTTCCATAGGAGGGGATGCGTATATTTCTGGGTAGGGCTGGAACCTAGTATGAGATGAACACACTACACACCTAACAGAAGCTCCCACTCTTCCCCACGCTCCTTCCTGCCCACTCAACTCTCCACTCACACTCACCTACTCTCTCACACACTCCGCCCATTCCTTCACACTCTCACCTCACCACCTCAACCTCAATCTCTCCTAGGCATACGACGCGCACTCACGACATTGCGCGCTCGCGGGAGGCAGCGCTCGGGTCTACGAAATAGCTACATCTCTCGCATTTACCAACTTCCTCTCCGGTCACTTCTCTCTGGTCACCGCTCTCCTTTCACTTCACTCACACAATCCCTCCACCATCAGATCTCTACCTGCTTCTCTTTTTAACCAGCACCTATCACTGCTCCTCCGCCTGCTTGTCTTCCACTCCGCCGCGCTCCTTCTCGCTCCTCTGCGCCGCGCCTGCGAACACCACTCGCTCCGCATAACGACACACTCAAAGCATCTCACTCCACCCTGGCTCCTCACCCACATCTCTTCCACCCTCTTCCCTACTGTTTCCCCTCCCTCCCATCCCTCTCCTACACTCACGGCGAACCGGCCTTTCACAGCGCGCCACACTCACAACACCACCCCGAAGTTCTCACTTCCCTCGCTCCGCCTCTCTCTCCCGTTGTACTAACTCTCGCTACAATCTCTTTCTCCACCCTCACTACACCACTCTCGCCCTCTCACTCCTCACTCACACCTATCTCTTCTCTTCTGCGCGAACACCGACTCTGACACATCTCCTCGGGCACCGTTTCTATCGGATTCGCGTTCGGTCCATTCTCCTTCTAACTTTTTCAGCCCATCATCCCTCCACCACTCTTTCATCGCCCTCTCGACCCGCGACCCTACCCTCCTACCACCCTCAGGGCGACTGCACCTCGTCTCTCCTCGCCCGGCGCCGCCTGGCCCACGCATCCACCCTCGCTCCGCGGAACGCACGCACGCCACCTCCTTCCTCCCGCTACTT